AAGGTCCCACCCTCCCCAGTGCCCCTCTGGCAGGAGCCAGCCCCTGCCGGTCCATCTGTAGGGCCAAACCCAAGGAGGGGTCCTGGGGCACATTCAAGGCCAACAGATGTATTGGGGCAGATGTGCCCGTGGGCTGGGACCCAAGCGGATTCCAGCCCACAAAAGCTGATGCCCAAATAAATCTGTGGGTCTGAAAGCCCCAGGACTCACCCTCCCCAGTGCCCCTCTGGCAGGAGCCAGCCCCTGCCGGTCCATCTGTAGGGCCAAACCCAAGGAGGGGTCCTGGGGCACATTCAAGGCCAACAGATGTATTGGGGCAGATGTGCCCGTGGGCTGGGACCCAAGCGGATTCCAGCCCACAAAAGCTGATGCCCAAATAAATCTGTGGGTCTGAAAGCCCCAGGACTCCTCATTGGTTTTGCTGAAACAGACTAACACGGCTCCCCACTCCTGCTGGGAAGTCTCCCTCCCCCGGCTCTCTCTCCCTGGAGGGGAGGCGGGCAGGCAAAGGGTCCCACAGCACAAGGGGGAGATGGGCTGGGCTCTCTCCCGCCCGGGAAGGGGAGGGTCCCACAACACAAGGGGGAGACTAACCCAGCTACCCACCCCCTCTGAAAGTTCTAGGACCAGCTCTCTGAACAATGAAATGCAGCCACTTCCAGGGCAGAACACGGCAGCTGGAACAGCCACACAGAACAGGTTAGGGAGGTGGCGGGGAAGTGTCTGGGCTGTTCCAGCGCCTTGTTTCCCGCGCGGGGCCTTACAACGCAGGGGAGCCAGGACGCTCCCGAGCCTCTTACCAACGACTTCTCCGCTCATGAAGAGGAGGCAGATGACGGAGGCGACGTAGAGCTTCCTTCGAGCCCAGTGGTTTTCGGCGTGGTAGGGGCTGCCAGCCCGGTTGGAATGGCAGTGCTGGCTCCCCTGGGTGCCCAGCTCGATGGAGGCCGTGGCCGGGACATACGTGAGCCCGGGGCCGTGGAAGTTCTCGGAGACGCTCAGGTAGGGCCTGAACGACAGAGTGTCCCCTTCGCCGGCCGCTGGCTGAGAGGGGCCCCGGGGGGACGGACACCAACCCCCGCCCCCGGTTGTGCCCAGGGCCCTGCTTCTGCTGCCCGCTGAGGGAACAGGAATGGGGAGGGGTGCGGGGTGCCCGCCCCCCAAAGGGAGCTGGAGATGCGCCGGCTGGCGGTCAGGCTGCCCCCCAAGCACCCCCCCCTCCCTAAGCCCCAGCCAGAGCCGTGCTCCCCTCCCCCGCGGGAAAACGCCCCTCGCCCCGGGCAGGGGGACGCGCAGCAGCAGGGAGCCCACCCACCACGCACCGGAACCCCCTTGCCAAGCTGCCCCCAGGGAGTGGCGGGGCCCCAGACCAACGGCCTGGAGCGCTCCTGTGCCAGGCCCCCCGAAGGGCAGAGGGCCCAGAGCAGGGGGGCAGCAGGGCCAGGTGCCTGGGAGCGGCGCCTCGGGGCTCTGGAGGCGCCTAACGCCCATTGGCACGAATGGG